AAAAAAAAAAAAAAAAAAAGAATCAGGGTGCATTTTTAATCCCAGGTATTCTGGAGGCTGAGGCAGGAGGATTACAAGTTTGAGGGCAGCTTGAACAATTTAAGGACACCCTGTTTCCTAATAAAAATAAAAGAAAGGCCTAAGGATATAGCTCAGTGGCACAGCACCTGCCTGGGAAGTGCCAGGTTGTGAGTTTGATTTCCAGTACCAAAAAAAAAATAATTAATTTTTTTTAAAAAAGAGGGTTGGGATTGTAGTTCAGTGCTCCATTGGTTCAGTCCCCAGTACCCGCCCCCCCCGCCACACACAACAGAAGAAAGAATGGAGAGGGATGAAGAAAAATAGAAATGACCAAAAGTCATTTGACTAAACCATCATTTGATTTGACTAAACTTTCCATCATTGGGGGCAGGGAAATGCAGACTAGTTAGGAACATCCAGAGTGTGCCTATTTGTCTTTCTCTTTTCCTGCACCTTCCCTTCTACAGAAGTGATGCAGCTCTGGAGGAGGCAGTAGCAGAGGTGATTGACCATCGACCCATTGAGCAGAAACACTGTCCTCCCTGCCCTGTCTCTGTGGAGTTGGTGGGGTCCTGCGCTACCCTGGTGACTGAGAGGATCCTGCAGGGGGCACCAGAGATCCTGGACAGAGCGACTGCAGCCCTCCTGCATGGTGAGGGCCACTTTGGAGCTGGGCCTGGCTAGTTCCTCTAAAAAGGGGAAGTCTGGAGTCTTCCAGCCTGACCCGTACGCTTCCAAAATCCAGCTCAGAGCAAAGGGTGAGATTCCCGTGGGGAACACTGAGGCACTTGCGTAAAGGCCTGTGGGACGTTCTGTTGGAGAAACCGGAAAGGAAGCACAGGACAGCAGACCTTGAAGCTTCCTATTTGTTGGTAGCCTTGTTCCGTGGAAGAAGGAGCAGGAAAGCTGATTCCAGCGCCCCCGGAAAGAGCTCAGGGTCCTGGAGCAAATCTCGTATCCTTTCTTGTTCTCATTTCCTCCATCTGTGAGAAAGAGTTGGACCAAACTTTCTCTTCCAACTTCCAGCTCTTCTGCTGGAATTTGCCCTATCTAGGAGATGTCTTCTCTCCAGCTCATTTTCAAAATCTCCAAGGAGTGAGGTGCTCAGGCTCTCCATCTTTTCTTCACGTCCTGTTCATGTTTAATTTGGATTTAAGCGGTCTTATGTGCTCAGGATACACTGTGTTTCTCATTTTGTTTCCATTGGTTTTGCCCTGCAAGTCTCCCCTATGTTTTCCGTTTGGTTTGAAAGTTAACGTGTTCTAGGGTCATGAATGGATTTGCCCTCTCCCTTCTCCGCAGGAACCATCATCCTGGACTGTGTCAACATGGACCTTAAAATTGGAAAGGCAACCCCAAAGGACAAGAAGTATGTGGAGAAGCTGGAGGCCCTCTTCCCAGATCTGCCGGAAAGAGATGAGATCTTTGACTGCCTGCACAGGGCGAGGTTCGATGTATCAGGTATGAGCCGGCAAGCTGGATTAGTTGCCTCCACATCAGAAAGTAGGTGGCCAAGCTTCGTTCATTATACTTGGGAGTACCATGGAGACAATTTCAGAACCATGCAGAAGCATGGAACCCTAGCACCAGGAGCCTGAGGCAGGAAGATCACAAGTTCACCACAGCCCAGCACAGGCAACTTAGTGACTCAGCGAGACCTTGTTTCAAAATTTAAAACATTTTGGGCTGGGCGTGGTGGCGCATGCCTGTAATCTCAGCACTTAGGAGGCTGAGGCAGGAGTATTGTAAATTTGAGACCAGCCTGGGTTACAAAGTGAGCTCAAGGCCAGCCTGAACTGCATAGCAAGGCCCTGTCTCAACAACAACAAAAAAAATTTAAAACATTTTAACTAGGACAGGGGATGGAGTAAGCTTAGGCCCTGGGTTCAATCCCCAGTACTGCTGAAAAGAAAAGAGCAAAGAAAAAGGGCACAGAGCACAAAGCCCTGGATTCCATACCCAGTACTTGAAAAAAAAAAAAAAAATACACTGAGGGATAGTGAATGATTAGAGCAAGAACTATATGATTGGTGAGAGAGGCAGAAGAGACATTGGAGTACACAAAGGACAAAGGAAGAGAACAGAAAACTTCATAATCTACCCAGCTTCTACCTGTTGTCATTAAAAAAGAAGGGAGCAGATAGAAGGAAAGAAAAGTACCACAGGTGGTTAGAAGGTTCAGACAATCCAGAAAGGGGCAAAATGAGCGTTGAAGGTGTAGCTCAGTGGGAGACCGCTTGGCTCTTTGCCCCAGGGTTCAGTTTCCAGCACCACAAATGAAGGGGTGGGGGACTCAGGGTAGAAGCCTCCCGCCTTCCTTTTCTCCTTCTCTCCAGAGTTCCGTGCTCTTAAGGTGACCATTGGAATCCAGTTAAGTAACTGACCATACAGTTACACTTCCATCACCTCCCCTGTGCATCGCCCGAAGAGAGGCTTGCCGCCCCTGTCCGCATCCTCTCCCTCTGCCGTTGGGGCCCTTCATTCCCTGTGTGACCCCTGGTCTGGTGTCTGATTGCCAGGGCTGACCACTGAGCAGATGCTGAGAAAGGACCAGAAGGTCATCCACAGACCAGGCGTGAAGGCGGCCGTGAGCGCAGTGTACATGGATCTGGCGGTAAGAGTAGAGCGTGGCGTGGGTGGGGAGGGAAACCGAGTGACGGATGTCGCCTTGCCCCTGTTCCGGCTCACCTGGGAAATACCGCTGTTCCTGCCTGCTCCCGGCTCCTGCGACCCCGACAGCCTGTCACCTCGCGCTGTGTTTCTGCAGCAGCCACACGGCTCCCCCAAAGCCATTCGCCCCACAGCCAGCAGAGTGCTGTTTTGAGATGTAAGTCAGATCCTATCAGATCCTATCAGATCGCGCCTCCCTTTCCTGACTTTTCATTGTGCTTTTGTTAAAATCTAAAGCCCTTCCTGGGGTTCGGGGCCCTGCTTGAGCTGACTGTGTCTTTCTGTCGCCCCAGCTCAGCCCAGCCCCAGCCTTGCAGTCCCGCGGCCATGCTGGTTTTCTCTCATCTCACACAGTTAAGCTCATCTCTGGCCACAGCCTTTGAACTTGCTTCTGTCATTGCAGAGCTTGCTGGTCTTATCACTCAGGCCTCAGTGCAGATATATCCGGTTTTGAGAGGTTTTTCCTGACTACAGTAACTGAAGTTGTATGTCCTGTGCTCAAAAAATCTCTGGCTGGGTATGGTGCCAGTTCCCTGTATTCCCAGCTGTTTGAGTGGCTGAGGCAGGACTATTACTTGAGCCCAGGAGTTTGAGGTCAAGCATAGACCACGTAGTAAGACCACATCTCAAACAAAAATAGCAGCAAAAATCTCTAGCTGTTAATTTATCTGGTTTTCTTCATAGCACTTAACACCTGAAATGATCTTGTTTCCTATTTCTTTGTTATCTATATTCCTCTGCAAATTTATCAGCTCTGCAAAGAGCAGGGTCCTCTCTTTTGTTTCTGCTCTTTCTTAGGCACCTTTGATAACATGTAGTACATAATTGTCTACTCAGTAAAGTTTGTTGAATGGTACTGGGGATTGAACCTAGAGAGCCGCCTACATACTAGGCAAACATTCTGCCACTGAGCTACATTCCCAGCCCTTTTGAAAAGTTTTTTTGTTTGTTTGTTTTGTTTTGTTTTGTTTTGTTTTGAGACAAAGGCTGATTATGTAGTCCCGGTTGGCCTCAAACTCACAGCGATCATCATGTCCTCAGCCTTCCTTTTTTTATTTTTTGAGACAAGGTCTTGCTATGCAGTTCAGGCTGGCCTTGAGCTGGCTTTGTAGCCCAGACTGTTGAACTCCCAAGGATCCTCCTGCCTCAGCCCCCAGGTGCTGGGATTTCAGGCGTGTGCCCCTATGCCCAGCTTGAATGAGTCCTCAGCTTTTTTTTTTTTTTTTTTTTTTTTTTTTGAGACAGGGTCTCCCTATGCAGGTCAGGCTGGCCTTGAGCTCACTTTGTAGCCCAGGCTGGTCTTGAACTCGCAACTTGCCTCAGCCTCCCAAGTGCTGGGATTATAGGCGTGGGCCACCACGCCTAGCTGCTGGGATTATAGGCATTTGCAGCTGTGTCTGGCAATAATTCTGTTTTGATACTCAACTCCCAGTTTTTTTTGTTTGTTTGTTTTGTTTTTTGGATTTTTTGAGACAAGGTCTTACTATATAAACTACATTGGCCATGAGCTCACTATGTAGCCCACGCTGGCCTTGAACTCACAGTAACCCTCCTGCCTCAGCCTTGTAGGTATTCAGGTTACAGGTACATGCCACCACACCTGGCTCCATATTGGGATTTTGTTTTTGTTTTGGAATTTTGTCTTTGTTTTGTTTTGAGACAAAATCTTGCTGTTTGGTTGAGGCTGACCTTGAGTTCAGTATGTGGCCCAGGCTGGCTGCAAAACTCATGTTGATCCTCGTGTCTCAGCCTCCTGAGTGCTGGGATTATAGGCATGTGCCACCATGCCCACCCTCCATATTGTTTGTTTTTGAGACAGGTTCTCACTATGTACCATAACTATAGTGCACTAGAAAGGCCAAGGATAGAGAAAAGCCCTGATTTGCAATAGGTGGTAGTATTTCCTGAAATACTGAGTGAGATTTGGGAGTAGAGTACAGATTGGTGAAGAACAGTGAGTCAAGGATGTGGCATCACATGTCTGTACCTTTTTTTTAATGGTACTAGGGATTGAATCTAGGGCACATTTTACTTTTTATTTTGAGATAGGATTGCCCAGGCTGTGCTTGAACTTGGGATCCTCCTGCCTCAGTTTCCAGAGTGCTAGGATCACAGACATGTATAACCATGCTTGGCACATACCCGCTCTTAGTTATGTGCCCTGTTGTTCTGCCTTATAATAGAAATGCTCACAAAGCAAGTCTTGCTTATTTGATCACAAGAACAGAAAAACTTGTAACAGGCCAGGTTGTATTATCATGTTTTAATTCTTTCTGTTTTGGCACTGTGGTTGAACATGCTAATATTATCTCCTATTGAACTGCACCCCCTGCACTTTAAGAGTGTGTGTGTATATACCGGGAATTGAACTCAGCATCTTGTACTTGCCAGGCAGGCGTTCATGCCGCTGAGCTGTATCCCCAGCCCCACATTTTAATTCTTTAAACAATTACTTTTGGTAATTTTTTTTTTTTTTTTCTTGAGACAGGATCTCACTATGTAGTTCAGGCTAGCTTTGAACTCATTATGTAGCCCAGAGTGGCCTCAAACTCCCAGTGATCCCTCTGCCTCAGCCTCCCAAGTGCTGGTATTATAGACGTGCACCACCATACCTGGCTACCTTTGGTAATTGTTGGTCTCCTTATTTTATGTATGTCAAAACTTAGGTCCAGAACTCCATGACCAGCTAGTTAATAGGCAGTAGAGGTGGTTTTCCAGTCAGTTCTGTCTTAGTCTAAAATGTGTATTCTCCATGTTCAATATCATTACCTCCCAGCCTGGATACAGCACAGTAAATATTAGACACCTTTGTGATGGACAGTGAGTTGTGGTGAAGATGCAGAGAAACCTTCCTAAGGCTCCTTTGTTGTTGGAGACAGAGGGCCCCACCGCAGTTCTCATCCTTCTCTCTTTCCTCCCAGGCCTTCCTGCAGAGGCCTGACCTCCTCGCAGACCTCAGCGCTTTCTGCCAGGCTCACAGCTGCGACGTCCTGGTGGCCATGACCATCTTTTTCAACGCTCACAACGAGCCAGTGCGGCAGCTGGCTGTTTTCTGTCCCTGTGCTGCACTTCGAATGATGGTGAGTGTTTGTCCAAGTCCGCCGGTGTGCGCCTCTGTTCTGCAGCTCTGTGCTGTGAGGACCTCAGTCCTTACCTCTCACGGGGGCGCCTTGACCTGTGTCTGGAACCCCGCTCCCCGCTTTCTCTGTCCACACATGTGAGTGTGCGGCCTCATCCTAGCATTGCTGAGGAAGGGGGCTCCATGGGAGCTAGAGACAGTGCCTGCTTAGGGGGAACTCAAAGTCCGGTGAGAAGGAAATAGCACAAATCTGGAGTCAGATTTGATTCTTGGCTTAATCATTGATTTCTCTCCTCTGAAAATCCATTCTTTTGTTTCTGCTCTGTTGCCTGGATAATGAGAAACACTAGAGGGTGGGTCAGCGTGGCTGGGGTGGGGCAGGAGGCCTGGCTTCTGTCTGCAGCACATAGAGATTTATGCCACATAGAGATTAACCAGTACAGGGGCTGGGGGTTTAGCTCAGCGGCACAGTGCCTGCCTGGCAAGCACGAGGTCTTGAGTTTGATTCCCAGTACCGGAAAAAAACAACAGCAACAAAAAAAAGAGAGATTAACCATTACAGTGTGAGCTCTGTGAAGTGACTGAGGACCATGTTTTTCCTTTCCTGATTTCCATTTGGCTGTTTTCCTCAACTCTTTCCCCTTCTGTTCCTCTGTTGGTCAGTGATTAGCAAGAGGAGAATTTAAAAGTGGACTTGAGGCAGGCCGGGGGCTCCTGGGGTGCATAGACTCCGAGGACTGCTGACACGACTCAGCCAGATAACCCTTTGTGCTCACCAAAGGCGGGTTTTGCCACTTCCTGTCTCTCTGCCTTTGATTTCTCCACCAGCAAGCAAATTTGATCTCATCCAGTGTGAAAGAGTGGTGTTGTAGAAAGAGCTATTGTTTTGTTTTTTTTGAAATCTGTTAGACGTGCTTTTCTGGTTCAGGTTTGCCACTTAGTTGCCTTTGAGCTAAGGTGTCAGTTGACTTCTGAGACCATAAATGGCATAATGCTGCTTAGTCTGATGTGGCCTTTAGCGTAGCGTAATAGAATATGTAAAGTCAGGTGAAGAGAAGCACTCAGAACTTAGTGGCTCTTTCTTACTGATCCTATCATGAAGGGGAGGGTACTTTGGCTATAAAAAGTGCTCTTCTGTTGGGTATGGAGGTGCATACCTGCAATCACAGCTACTTGAGAGGCTGAGGCAGGAGGACTGTAAGTTAGAGGTCGGCCTAGGCAACTCACCAGCTAACGAGAGTGTTTCAAAATAAAAAAGAGCTAGAGATAAAGCTCAGTGCTTCCTGAGTTCAGTCCTCAGTACCACAAAAAAAGAAGACATGCTCTTCCGCCTCCCAGAATCTATTCCTTGCTGTGTGGATGCCTGGTGACTCTTCCATTGCCCAGGCTGCCTAGAGAGAGGAACCCTCTTTTCATACCATGCCTCACTAGCTGTCTTCCTCCTGTATTAGGAAAAGTGTTAATGTATTGATGTAGAGCACTGGTTTTGGTTTCAGACCTGCGTTCGTGTCAGTTTTGCTTCATACAAACGGTAAGTTACCTAATCTACCTAAACCTCCATTTCCCTACCTTTAATGAGGGTAAGCGTAATACCAAAACCAATCTTACGCGGCAGTTCTAAGCAGTAAATGAGATAGTATTTGTAAATAGCCGGGCATGGTGCTGTGTTTGGCCTGTCTGCTGTCACTGCCTCTTTCTGCCTCCATCTCCCCTTGGCCTCTAGAGAGTTATTAGCCCCAGCCTTGCTAAGGGCAGAGTTCCAGTTCTCGAGCAGAGGTGCACACTTAGAAATATGCTAGGTGTCCTAGTCACTTTCTTGTCACTGGGACACCAACCTGACCCACAGCTCAGAGGAGGAAAGGTTTCTTTTAGCTCATGGCTACTGTCCATGGCTGGCCTGCTCCAGGGCAGAAACGGCACAGTGGAGGGGCCTAGTGAGGGACAGCTGCTGGCATCATGGCCCGGAAGCAGAGACAAGGGAGGAGAGGAAAGGCAGCTACTATGATGCTCTCAGTGACCCGAGTCCTATGACCAGGCCCGTCCTCCTAGTAGCAAGTCAGCTGTATTGCCCCAAGCTTCAGCTGCCTTCCAGAGCCCCGCCTATGAGGACAGAAGGCCTCTGGGGGACATTCTTTCATTTTGCTTTGTTTTAGTTTTTGTTTTTCTGAGACAGGGTCTCTCTTTGTAGTTCAGGCTGGCGTGAACTCACGGTGATTACAGGAGTGTGCCACCACGCCTGGCCTGGAGGACATTCTTGATCTAGATTAGGAGTCAAGGGTCCTGGATTCTTGTTGGAACTCTGAGCATCCACATGATGTGGCTCTAGACACTTAAATCCCTCTGAGCCTTGGTTCCCCTTTAAGGTTTGCAGTACTCTGAAGATTGAGCCCAAGGGTGTACAGTACCACGGAGCTATATCCCTGGCCCTTTTTCTTTTTGATTTTGAGATTAGGTCTTGCCTAGGTTGCTAGGTGCCTAGGCTGGCCTTGACTTTCCCCGGGATGACCCTGCTTTAGCCTCCCAAGCAGCTGGGATTATAAATATGTAGCACCATGCCCAGCTAGGGTACCTTTGTTATTTTCCTTTTCTTTGTGGTGCAAGGGATTAGACTCATGGCCTTGCACTTGCTAGGCAAGGGCTCTACTCCTGAGTCAAATCCCCAGCTTAGGTTTCCTTATTAATAAAAAGAAAGATAATCTAAAATGTTCTGTTTCTTCACAGGCATGGTGACCCATGCCTGTAATCCCAGCACTCTGGAAGGCTGAGGCAGAAGATTGCAAGTTTGAGCCCAGCCTAGGCAGTTTACTAAAACCCTGTCTCAAAATAGAAATTAAAAAAGGGCTGGGGAATGTAGCTCAGTGAAGAGGACCTGGCTTCAGCCCCAAGTATGGGAGTCGAGGTTGGTGTTCTTTTTCTAAAATGCTGTGTACATTAGAAATGCTCCTTTTGTTGCAAACACTAAAACCAAAGTTGAAATGACTTGATTAAAGTTTCTTCCTCTGTTGGAAGCTTCCCACTTAGAAGCTAGAGATTTAACTTCTCTTTTTTTTGAGGCGGGTGGGTACTGGGAATCAGACTCCTGACCTCATGCTTCCCAGGCAGATGCTGTGCCACTGAGCTGAGCTATCTCCCTAGAAGCTGAGCTTTTTACTACACTGAGTTACACATTTCCTGTTCTTGTCTTCTCTGTAGATCTGTGGCACCCTGGAGCGCTCCCATTCCCCGATGCTGAAGCTGACCCCTTTCCCAAACACCCACCCCGACCTCCAAGCCTATCTTCAAGGCAACACCCAGGTCTCAAGAAAGAAACTTCTGCCTCTGCTCCAGGAAGCCCTGTCAGCATATTCTGACTCCATGAAGATCCCAGCAGGGCAGCCTGAGACAGCGGGAGCATCTGCGGAGCAGGTGGACAAGGGATTGGTCAGGGAAGGTAACTCCCTGACTCCTGGACTGAGTCAAGATGAAGATGACCCCCCGCTGCCCCCCACGCCCATGAACAGCTTGGTGGATGAGTGCCCTCTGGACCAGGGGCTGCCCAAGCTCTCAGCTGAGGCCATCTTTGAGAAGTGCAGTCAGATCTCGCTGTCACAGTCTCCCACTGCTGCCGTGTCAAAGAAATGACTCTTGGGAGGGGATGGGGCGCAGGCAAGGTTGCTTGACCCACCCCAAATGCATGTGTTGAGAAGTTTGGAGATTTCACTATCGGGGTGCAGTACTGTCCTTGCGAAACTGGGAGGTGAAAGATGGGAAAGGAAGCAGCTGCTGTAGGAATGGCTTTCTGCCTTCTCCCTCCAGTCTCTACCAGTCAGACAGACATTATTTAATTTATTATTTAAATCTGCATTGATGTGTCTCTGTTTCATTTGTCGGGGGGCACAGTGTAATGTAACACACCCACAGTCCCAGGAGAGTGGGAAAAAAGAATGTAACCCGCACAGTACCCTCAGTAAGGATCTTGAACAGAACCAGTATCTGTCATGGAACCAGACATTCACTAATGGTCTCCTGGAATTAATTCTTCACTTACTTATTTAAGTATTTATTGAATACCTATTTCAAGCTGGACAGAGGGTGGCTACACGTTAGAAACTCTCACTCACGTTTTCAGCCTTCCACAGATTTCCAGGTCTCTGAATCTTCTTCCTGGCCCCTGGTATTGGATGGAGAGATGGCTGAATTTCTATTCTGTGCTTCTTGTGGCTGTTTCTGGGCTTGTTTGGGAACAGACTGAACCCCATTACTTTCTGTCCCGATCAGGTGGCCTAGCTTTCTGTTTCTTTGGGTTTCTTTGTCCCAGAGTCACAGAAATCCTGAGGGCACCCTGAAAACCCCTGGTTCTTGAGAGTTGAGGAGCCACTCTTCCTAAAAAGAGAAAGAACCCTGAGTCTGTCCCTTGTTGTAGCAGGTCGATGAATTTCTTGTCCATTTCTTTGATCATGTTAAAAGGAAGCGTGAGTTCTTGTACCGATGCATAACCTGTGTGTCTTCTGGCAAGATGCTCGGCATGTCTAGGTCTCACTGTCCCCATCTGTAGAACAGGGTCTGGATTAGATGTTCCCTTGTATGCTGTGATCTGCCTATGGCTGCCTTTTCTCTCTTATGTTGGTCTGTATTTTTCTTTCATTTTCCCGGGAATGCTCGGGGTCACTGGACTGTCCGTGTTTATGTGTGATTGTGCCAAGGGGATAAGTCTCGTGTAGCATGTAGAGGGCTATGACTCATACCACAGTGACCCCACGGAGAGCACCCCACCCACTTGTTCTGCATGTGTAGTCTCCCCTTCCTCCCGCAGACCAGCGCGTTCCTCTCTTCCTGCCCCTTCTTATTTCCCGACAATCTCACCGAACAGTCAGGGGTGATGGTTCGCGTTACGCCTTCCAGCGTGAGGGGGAGAATCGGACTTCACTGTAACGCGATGATGCCTGTAGCCATTTGAAAGGTAAAAATAGTGGTGTGATCACTGAACCAAAGGAATTTATGTTTTGTAACTTGGGTACTTTATCTTGCATTTTGTTAAAAAGTATTAAATACTTTTTCCTGTTTGGGGTCTTACTGTCTCATTTTACCACTATAATAGGCCTTTACCTTCGGTAATTGTTTCGGCCTCCCACGAGTGTATCTCCCATCTTTCTACTAATTGTCTTCTGGCAACGCTCCCTCCTTGTGGGAGATGGGAAGACAGGATGGGGAAGCCAGGGCCTTTGCAGCGAGCTTCATCCACCTGTTATTTTTCACTTTGAGACAGGGTCTCACTAAGTCACCAGGTTGCTCAGGGTGGGCTTGAACTTGCAATCCTCCCTCCGCAGCATCTCAGTGCGCGCCTGTGCCACCACTCCCAGCTGTCTATCGAGCATTACTGAGGAATGAATCTGAGGCCTCCACACGGAGCTACATCGCCACTCCTTTGTTTCTTGGGGTTTTGAGGAGGGTGGAGAGATAGGGCCTCCCTGTATCGTTCAGGCTGGCCTTGCCTCAGCCTCCTGAGTGCCGGGATCACAGGTGTGTGCCACCACGCCCAGCTGTCCTTTCCTTTTTTTTTTTTCCTTCAGGAACCTTCCTTACAGCATACTTCCTTCTTCCCAGTTTTGTGTTTCCCAGACTTCTTCCCAGTCTTTCCCACAGAGTGCTTGAAAAGTAGGCTCAAGTCTACATAGTGATCTCAGGGACACCCTGAACTACAGAGCAATACCCTGTCTCAAAAAAAGAAAAGTAGGCCCAAGATAGTACGGGAATCTACTGCTCCCACTACACACCACCCCTTAGCAGCTTCAAGAAAGTTATCAGACACAATGTATTAACCATTGTTACCCTCCTATCATACTGTTTTAGAGTTTTCGTTTGTTTCTTTTTCTTTTTTTTTTCCAGTACCAGGAATCAAACTCACAACCTCACACTTGCCAGGCAGGCGCTGTGCCACTGAGCTAAATCCCCAGCCCCTTGTTTGTTTCTTTTCCTTTAAAATAAAAATTTAAAAAATAGGAAAGTTACCAGGTATCTAGAAAGGGGAGCACATTTCCTTCCCAGACTCACCTCAGCCCAGTCACCCCGCGGAAAGTGCACTCCCTCCCCAAAACCGCCCACACACAGGAGGCAGGGCTGTTCCTGGGTAGACCTGCTCTTGGGAGGGGCGGTGGCAAAACCTGTTTGAAGATGAGGCTGCCTCCCTTCCACACCTCCCTCTGCCAGAGAGGCCAGAGCAACCACAGCTGGGACCGAAAGGGGCAAGAAGGGTTGGGGTCTGGGACACCCCACTCCCCAGCAACTCCTAAGTGTTTAAAGAAGGCAGGAAGACGTGTGAAGATGGGAAGTACACAAGAGGCAGCAAAGAAACCATCAGACCTCGGGTAAGAGAGTGTGGCTGCCTGCCTGGGTGTGGTGCGAAGGGTTTCCCGTCATCCGGCCCCTAGCCAGGGTTTTTCAGGGGTTCTTTAAGAAAATGGAAAGACGACTTACTTCGCAGAGAAGGACTAGAGTACCTTCAGGTAGGAAATGTCAGTGTGGTTTAGAATTAGGCAACTGGACTTCCAGGATAATTCCCTGGTTTAAAAACAAAAAAGTTGGGGCTGGGGATTTAGCTCAGCGGCAAAGCGCCTGCCTGGCAAGCGCAAGGTCGTGAGTTCGGTTCCCGGTACCGGAGAAAAACCAAAAAAAAAAAAAAAAAAAAATTTTAATATTTTGTATCTGATAAATCTGCCTATGTTCTTTTTTTCCTCCTGACTCCTACCTTCCAAATAGCTGGTCCAGAAATGAGCTTAGGTCCAGGTTCTCCTTCCCAGCAAAACTCTCCCTGCCTCCATCCCCCACACTCCAGATACAGCCACTCCCGGCAGAGTGGAGGAAAGGCAGGCTGGACGACCTGCACGCACTGGCGGCTTCCCTGACAGCTCAGGACGCCTGCCAGGCCGTTCTGGGGACCAGCCTCCCACACCTGTGCTGGAGGTGGGGCCACAGCCATAGGGAACGTGATTAGCTCCTCATTTCATCTTTGCTCCTAAACCACGGTGGAGAAACGTATAGAAAACAAATCTGAGTTCTTTTTTTGTTTACTAAGACGCCTCACCATGTAACCCAGGCTGGCCTTGAACTCAGGATCTCCTGCCTCAGCCTTCCCAGTGCTGGAGTTAGCTGAGTTCTTTTAGTTTAAGGCTTACCCTCTGTAGCTTAACACTGTCCTCCACTCCAGTGTCTGCTCATAAGACACTGTCTAGGTTGTTCCATGATAATCTTTTCTTCTGGGGACCCAGGGTCGGGGAGGACGCAGAAGAGCCAGCGCCGGGAGCAGCCCTGAGACGTGGGGAACTGGAGCTGAAGGAGGAATGGCAGGATGAAGAATTCCCTGGGTGAGGAAGGGAGAGGGAGCCTGGGAGACAGGGAAGACATCACGAACAGGGCATTTAGACTTGAAGGAAAGCTGGGCAAAGCAAGCAGATGCCGATGGCAGGGGGAGGGCTGCTCGGCTGACAGCTGGCGCGGAGCCCCTCTCACCCTCTCCCCATAGACTGCTGCCTGAGGAGCCCCGACCATCTGAAGAGCCTGAGGATGCTCAGAGAGACTCCCAGGCAGGTGAATAAAGTAGAACCTGGATTTCAAGCTCCTGATTCTAGTCCACTGAGGGCCACACTGCCGCTCCCTTGTGCAGCTCCACTGGCCTCTTTCCCAAATGTCCCCGTCCTTCCCATCTTCAGAGTTCACCCCCCATGGTTCCTATCCACAGGATTCTGACCACCATCCTCAGTCACGTCTTTCTGTGTATGTCCCCACTTATCCACCCCAGCTACCCCCAGCACTTTAGCCCTGTGTGGCCAGCGCCCCATGAGGAAGCGCCTGTCTGCCCCGGAACTGAAGCTGAATCTGCTAGACGGGCGCGGAGATGAGGGAGCTTCTCCCACCCACTCTGCAGCTTCCTCTTCTGAAGGCAGCTCAGACCTGGATGTAGACGAGCTAGAGACACCTTCAGACTCGGAGCAGCTGGACAGTGGACATGAATTTGAATGGGAAGGTGGGGAACAAACCCCAGGGCAGAGCTGGCGGAAGGAGAGAGAGACCAGTGGGGCTGGGCACCTGGCTCAGGGGAGAGTGCTTGCCTAGCATGTGCAGAGCTCCAGCTTCAAGCCTCAGCACAAGCAGGAAAAAAAAAAACATTCCATATGATTGATTCAGTGAGGCCTGCCTAGCATTTTGTTTGTTTTTGTTTTATTTTTTTTGTTTGAGACAGTGTCTGGTTGTGTAATTCAAGGTGACCATAAACTCACTATGTAGCCCAGGCTGGCCTTGAACTGGCAGCAATCCTCCTGCCTCAGCCTCCCAATTGCTGAGATTACAGGTGTGCGCCACCATACCCTGTATGGTGGGAGGGCAGTCCATTGTTTACTATTGAAAACTGTATGTATGGGGGGAGGGCAGTCCATTGTTTATTATTGAAAACTATCCATGCTGTCACTGAGCTAGAACTGAGGTAATGAAGACAAAGGTCTGGGCCTGATCTGGTGGTGCACACCTCTAATCCCAGCACTTAGGAGGCTGAGGCAGAAGGATCGCCACGTGTTCAAGGCCAGCCTGGGCTACGAAGTGAGTTCAAGGCCAGCCTGAACTGCATAGAGAGACCCTGCCTCAAAAAAGACAAAAATAAATAAACGAAGACAAAGGTCTTACCCTCAGAAAAGCTGCTGCTATTTTTCAAAACGAGGCAACTCTATTTGTTATGGAAAGATCATAACCAATGGTGGGTACGATACATTATTGTTTGAGTAAAAAGTAGTGGAGAAGAAAAGGCTTGCTCTCACTCACAGTGGTGTAGAGGGTGGATTGGAGGAAAACAACATAAAGGCAGGGAGAACAGGAAGAAACAACCTGAGGGCAGCTGAGATGTCCCCAGGAGAGGACAGTAGCAGTGGGGAAGATGATGAAAGCAGGAGGAGGAAAGAAGAGGCTCTGTAACCCAGCTGACTTGAGAGCTGACAGAGAGGAGTCTCAGGTGACAGTTTTAGGCAGCTGGGTGGATGAGTAATTCATCAAGATAGGAAATATAGGGGAAAAGGAAGAAGAAAGTGATTTTGAGTTCTGTTTTGTGTCTGGGACTTGTGACAGCAAGGTGCACAGTGGAGATGTCCAGGCATTAGGGCTGTGGAGCTGGAGTCAGGAGAGAAGTCTGTGTTAGAAAGGCCCATCTCTGGTCGTCATCTCATGAGCAATAACAGAAATACGGGAATAGAATGCTCACAGTGAGAAACATGGAAAGAAAGGAAGAAAGAATATGGAAAAAACAGAATCTGGCAAGAGCCATAGACCTGCCCTTGTGCAAGGCTACCCCAAGGCCGCCAACCAGTGAAAAACTGAGGATAAAAAGCTTCAGGAGAAAGAGACCGGGAGAGGTTGGGTTAATTGGACAAAATGGCTAAAAAGGCAAGGAAGGAGAGGTTGGAGTAGTAACTGCAGAACAGACCTAGAGAAGTTAGGAGGTGCTTGACCCCTCACCCCCCAACCCCGTTTTAGACGACCTGCCCCGGGCAGAAGGCCTGGGGGCCAGTGACGCAGCACAACAGCTGGGCCGAGGATGTACATGGGACGTGGCCGGAGGAAATGGTCATCGCTGGAGGGTGTTCCGAATTGGACCTCGGGAGCAACGCGTAGACATGACTGTCATTGAGCCCTATAAGAAAGTCCTGTCTCACGGAGGTAACAGTTGGTAGAAGGGGTAAAGACTACGGCTTTGCTAAGGGTTAAAACAGCTCTTGAGCTGGAGACTCAGGCGATGATGGGTTCTGCACCCTTCCTGTCACTTCCAGAGGCCCTCAGTGTCCTGCAGCCAGATCCTATGTACTGTCTGTCAATACATATTTTTGGCCTGAGTGAGTTTTTCCTTTATTATCCTCAGGTTACCATGGTGATGGCCTCAATGCTGTCATCCTCTTTGCTTCCTGTTACTTACCCCAGAGCAGCATCCCCAACTACACCTATGTCATGGAGCACTTGTTTAGGTGAGTGGAAAGCTTGGAAGGACACAAGGCGGGTATCAGAGAGAGAAAGTAAAAAGGAACCTCCAAGTTTGGTCAATAGCTGGTTAGAGGCTGCACTAATGGTCCCCAGACTCCCTGAATCCCTGACACTTCCCTGCCATGTCGTCCACCCCTCTCCAGGTATATGGTGGGGACCCTGGAGTTGCTGGTGGCTGAAAATTACCTGCTTGTTCACTTGAGTGGAGGCACAAGCAGGGCCCAGGTTCCGCCTCTGAGCTGGATCCGCCAGTGTTACCGCGCTCTGGAGCGGCGGTGAGACCTCCGACCAAGGGAGCTACGACTCCACCTTACCATTTCATCTTCCACCTCTCCATGCCTTCCTCTCCCAGTTAGTCCCTTCTCCTGTCCTCCTTCCCTCTGTATCCCTCCTAAGAGGCTCCTGTGTTCTGTTGATGCTTAGAGTCCGTGAAATCTTTCTCTTGTCCTAGTTTTATTTTGATTAGTGTGTGCTGTCGGGGCGCAGTGGTTACCCTCGTCCTGGGTGGTGGTACATGCCCATGACACATCTTAATTCCTTTTCTGTCCACACCCCTCCGCCTGGCCCCTGAAATCTTACTTTCCAGCCATTGTCACTTGCTAGCTGTGTGATTTTGGCCAAGCCTTTCTGGGCCTCCGGCCCCTTATCTGTAAAGTGGCAGCAATCATTCCTCCACCACGGAGCATCTGTGGAAAGCGTACCTCCATGTTACGCCCTGCCAGATCACAGACACACCCTTCCTCTCCTCCCAGTCACATTCCTTCAGTTCGCACACGTCTCTGTGTCCTTCTCTTCCTTTTTTTTTTGAGACAGGGTCTTGCTTTGTAGTTCAGGCCGACCTTGCACTCACTGTGTAGTCCAGGCTGGCCTCGAATTCACAGCAATCCTCCTGCCTCAGCATCCAAAGTGCTGGGATTATAGGAGTGAACCACCAGGTCTGGCTCCTTCTCTTCCTTCATCTGTGACATTTATGTATTTTTTTTCTTTCTCTCATGTTGCTTTTTTCTTTGTTTTCCCATCTTCCTTTTGATTATTTTTGTCTTCTTGTCTTTTCTTTTTTCCTTCTTGCTGGTCTTCTTCTATTTGGATTTTTTTTTTTTTTTTTTGGTACTGGGAATTGAACTCACATCCTCACACTTGCCAGGCAGGCGCTGTGCTGCTGAGCTATATCCCTGGCCTCCCATTTGGAGTTTTATAAGTAATCTCAGTCAGAGAGGGATGGAAGAGTTTACAAAAGGAACTTATGTAGGGGTAGAGCAGGAGGAAAAAGGGGTAGAAAAGACCAAACAGAGGGTCAGGTGTGGTGGCACACAACTATAATTCCAGCACTCAGGAGGCTGAGGGAGGAGGTTTGCTGTGAGTATGAGGCCAGCCTGGACTACATAGTGAGTTCAAGGCCAGTCTAAACTACATAGCAAGACCCTGTCTCAAAAAAAAAAAAAAAAAAAAGGCATCATGGCCTTCCTCATTAATGGCCCACTCTTAGCCAGGCGTGATGGTGCACACCTGTAATCCCAGCACTCGGGAGGCTGAGGCAGGATCATTGTGAGTTCGAGACCAGCCTGGGCTACAAAGTGATCTCAAAGCCAGCCTGAACTGCATAGTGAGACCCTGTCTCAAAAAGACTAAAAAATAAAAAGTAAAAAAAATAATAACCCACTCTATATCCTCCAGGGTATATTTTTATCTTGCTTTTTCTCTCATTCACCCCAAGCTTGCTCTGCAGAGCCAGGTTTCCCCCCTTTTTTTTTTTTTTTTTTTTTGTCATTTTGAGACAGGGTCTGGCTATGCAGTACAGGCTGGCCTTGAGTTGACTTTGCAGCCCAGGCTGGTCTCGAACTTGCAATGATCCTCCTGCCTCATCCTCCCAAGTGCTGGGATTACAGGTGTGCACCACCACACCTGGCTCCCCTCACTCTTCACTTTTACTTTTTCAAATAAACTTTGTCACTACTTAAAAAGGAAAGAAAGAAAGAAAGAAAAGAAAAGAGAAGAGAAGAGAAGAAAAAAGAAAAGATATAAACCAAGACCAAACAGAGTCCAAAAGGAGAGTTTCCTAAAAAACAGGAAGGTGGCAGGCTAACTGAGATGGGTGGAGCTGAGATTTCCCCTAAAGGGATGGGGATTAAATCCAGTAAATGGCTGAGAAATCTAGCCGTTTAGAGATGCCAGGGCAGCTGCCGCGTAGACAATTGCTCCACCTGATCTGCAGACATGAAGACAGACCCAGGAATAGAATGATCTCATCATATTCTTCCTCAGGCTCCGGAAAAACCTGAGGGCCTTATTGGTTGTCCATGCTACATGGTATGTGAAGGCATTTCTGGCACTGCTTCGGCCGTTCATCAGGTATTAGCTCTCTGGACAAGGACTTCCTTTTCCTCATTTCTTCCTTTCTTTCTCTCTCTTGCTCCTCTCTCTCTCTCTTCTTTTTCTTTATCTTCTTTCTTCTTCACAGGCTCTTGCTTTGTAGTTCAGGCTGGCCTTGAGCTCACTTTGTAGCCCAGACTGGCCTCAAACTCGCAAGGATCCTCCTGCCTCAGCCTCCCAAGTGCTGGGATTACAGGTGTGCACCACCATGCCCAGCCTCTTCCTCATTTTCAAAGTGAAGATTAAACTGGGCATGTTGGCACATGCTTGTAATCCTTAGGAAAGACAGGCAGGCGGGTCCCCATGAATTCAAGGTCAGCTGGAACTACAGACATTCCTCATTTAATGAGGAAAGAATTGGTCACTGAATGAGGAATTGTATACATCATGTACAATATTCAGAAGAAATAGTCACCAGAAATACTAATTTCATGGCTTTGCTTTTATTTGTAGAACTCCTACATCCAATACTGTAATATATAATAACATAAAACTATAGTACTATTCTGTACAGTAAACAAGCAAAAATTACAGTACTGCATAAACAAACTGTACTGCACCAAAAAAGACATCGAGGCTCTATAAACAAGATGTGTAGAACTGTACCAAAAAAAAATCATAAGTCTAAGCAGTGAATCACAAGTCCAAATAGTCATTAAACAGGTAGACCATTAAATAAGGAATCTACATAGCAAGACTTTGTTTAAAAAAAAAAAAAGATTAAGATTTTGAGCTGAGGGCCAGGGATATAGCTGAGCAGCACAAGCGCCTGCCTGGCAAGCACAAGGTCCTAAGTTCGATTCCCAGTACCAAAGGAAAAAAAAAGATTTTTAGCTGGGGGCCGGGGATGTAGCTCAGCAGCACAGTGCCTGCCTGCCAAGCACAGGCTCTAAGTTTGATTCCTGATACCAAAAAAAAAAAAAAAAAAAAAAGATTTTAGCTGAGTGTGACAGAACACATAATTCCAGTACTCTGGGAGACTGAGGCAAGAGGATCTCAAATTTAATCCCAGGGGCTGGGAATATAGCTCAGTGACACAAGCGCCTGCCTGGCAAGGGCAAGGTCCTTAGTTCAATTTCCGGTACCCAAAAAAAAAAAAAAAAAATTCAATCCCAGCCTGGGCAATTTAGTGCTTAGTGAGACCCTCTATCAAAAATAAATAAAATAAAAAGGGCTGAGGATGTAGCTCAGTGCAAAGGCCCTGAGTTCAATCCTTAGTACTAATGAAGACAAAATCTGGCCCTACCCTGACTCTTTCTAGCCTAAAACACTCTGCTTGCTACATTTCCCTCTATAAAGGTATCCAGGAGCCACCCTCCTAGTATGAAACATGATTTGGTTTATTCTGTCTTTTCAGTTCCAAGTTCACACGAAAGATCCGTTTTCTGGACAGCCTGGGGGAGTTAGGTCGACTCATCTCCCTAGATCAACTTCACATCCCTGACGCTGTCAGACAGTGAGTCCTGCCTGCACTGAAGGGTGAAGGTTTGGGGTGGGATGGGATAGACAGCTCGTAAAGCCAGTCCCCACCTCCTCAGTGCCTTGGGGGGATACAAAGGTGCTACAAGGTAGAGATTCTGCTTTCAGCTGCTTTAGTGTAGCTAGGAAACTGCATATGCCCAGCGGAGATGTGAAGCACAGTACTGCATCAACAGGAACAAAGGAAGAAAAATATGTGTACACATGCCCAGGCCAAGGAATAATCACAGCATGGCGGTTAAAGGGGGCCTAGAGTAGCCTAGTTTTTCATTAGGGAATCTGTGGGCAATGGGTAGATCATACCCAGTGGGGAAGAGGGTGTTAGGCAGCAAAGGATGCTAAATACTGAGTCAAACACTCAATCGTCTAGCTCATCTAATACACCAAACCAGTGAGGAAGACCCAGCTCCTGCCCCAAACGACTTCTGTTCCCTAACCCTCTATAGGTTGGACCTGGATCTCCATGGCTCAGGAGGGATGGCTAAAAGGCCTTAAAACCAAGCAAAGATGGTGCATTCCTGTAATCCCAGCACTCGGGAGGCTGAGGCAGAAGGATCGTTGTGAGTTCGAGGCCAGCCTGGGCTACAAAGTGAGCTCAAGGCCAGCCTGAACTGCATAGGGAGACCCTGTCTCAAAAAAAAAAAAAAAGACGGAAAAAAAAAACCAACAACCCCCAAACCAAGCAAAGATAGTGATCTACGCGATCCTAATCCTGAACTGTTTTGCCAACCATCTCATCCTGAAGCCCAGCCCCCTCTCACCCCCCTTCGCTTCTCAGTGGGGTGCTTCCCTCCCATGCCCTGCTGGCCTGCCAAGAGCTCTGACTTTGGGAGTTCTCAGCACTCGGGGATGGGGCTGCGCGCAGTGGTTTTGGGAGTGCAGAATCCTGCTTTCGCCTAGAGCCTTGTCATTTCTCCGGTCTCCGTTTCCTCTGTAAGCGCAGAGACTGCACTCCTCTCCACCTTAGTATTGTAGCAGTCTCTGAGGGGAGATGATGGACAGCCTGGCCTAAATGACCTCAGCCAGACTCCCTGCTGGGGGCCGGGAGACAGCTCACAAAATCTTGAAGAACCCCTGCTTGCCCTTTTCTTCTTCTAAGTCACGTCCTCTCCTGTGAGCCTGGGAGGGAGTGCTCTGAAAGCCTGTACTACCGTCCACGCTGTACTGTAGCGATGAATAAACTGCGGTGAGATTGAAGTCTATGCGTGGGCCTTTCCCCAGCCCCTTCCTTGCGTCACAATCGGCCTGGGTTCTGGGCGTCCGTGGCAGAGGCTCCTTGGCTGCGGCTCTGCTGGGGCCGCGGAAGCCTGGGTGGCGGGAGGGTACGCGCCGGTTCCAACGACCCTGCGAGTCGGTGGAGCGGAGCAGAGCGAAGGGTGAGCAGACGGGAGCCGGGGCCACCCAGCCCCATGGTCTCCGCCGCCCGCACGCTGCTCTGCGCCCTGCTGCTGAGTCTGGGGTCCCCGGCGGCGGCGGTGGCGGGGCGCCAAGGCCAGACCACGACCACAGCCGGGGCTCAGGGCGTCAGCCTCCGCCTTGGGGGCCCGGCCCGCAGCCGCAGCAGCAGCACTGCGGGCTCGGCCCGGACCCGCCCTCCCCGCAGGACCAGGGTGACCGTGGAAGACGACAGTGACGTCCTGGCCACCGCCGACCGCCTGGCGGGCCCGGCCGCTGCCGAGCTCCTGGCCACGGTGACCGGCATCAGCCCGCCGACAGCGGCCAGCATCAGCAAGGACCACGAGGGATCTCTGGAAGAGGGGATGGTGATCTACGCCAGAGAGAATGTCTCGGAGACGACCCCCAGCAGAATGGGCGGTGCCAGCCGCAGCACCGAGGGGAAATTTGCAGCCAACACCCAGGAGCCAGAGATCAGGCTGACCACCAGCCTGCCGCCGGCCACCTCGAGGACCACCGGGGAAGAGGGCGACGTGCTGAGCTCCGAGACCCTGAGCCAGTGGTCCACGGCCGGCTCCAAGCCCAGCGGGTGGCCGCGCTCCTCCCCGATGACCATGCCCGCGCCCGAGGATCTGCGGCTGGTGCTGATGCCCTGGGGCCCGTGGCACTGCCACTGCAAGTCAGGCACCATGAGCCGGAGCAGAGCTGGGAAGCTGCATGGACTTTCTGGGCGTCTTCGAGTTGGGGCGCTAAGCCAGCTCCGGATAGAGCACCGGCCTTGCACCTACCAGCAGTGTTCTTGCAATCGACTCCAGGAAGAATGTCCCCTGGACACGAGTCCCTGCCCCGACGCGGGCTGCAGATCTCGGGTCACCACCACCACCACCACCACCACCACCACCACTTCTCCCATGCCCCCCATTCACCTGAGGCGCAGGCCCAGCCCCCACCCGCCCAGCACCTTCTCGCCCAGCCCCAGCGCAGCTCTGGCTTTTTGGAAACGGGTGAGGATAGGCCTGGAGAATATCTGGAACAGCCTGTCCAGAGTGTTCACAGAAATGCAACCAGTAAGTGTCTTGTGGATGAGCCAGGATCCTTACCGAAGCAGCTGAGTTCTGACATCCCAACCCCTGGGCTAAGCCAGGCAGTGTGCTTCCTGTACAGTTTTTTTATTTTTTTACTTACTTTTGGTACTGGCGATTGGGCCCAGACTTCACACTAAGCTACATCCCCAGTACTTTTTTTATTTTTTGAGCCAGGGTCTTGCTAAATTGCTCAGCCTAGGCTTGAACTTCCAGGTGCATGCCACCCAATTTTGTTACTGACTCATGACATGCGTTAGTTCATTACTGTTGCCCACTGATTCTACCTATTTTTTGTTTCATTTTATTTTTGAAATGGGATTTTTGGCTGTCCAAGAAACCCTGGGTTTAAACAATTCTCCTGTCTTGGTCTCCTGGAGTAATTTAGCTGAGATCACAGATGTGTACCACCTTGCCCAGCAATTCTTTTAACTGCTGGTTGGTCAATGTATTACTGGTTGACCAGTTAAGGATGTGGACAGCCAGGTCTGGTGGCACACACCTGTAATCCCAGCACTCAGGAGGCTAAGGCAGGTGGATTGCCATGAAACTGAGGCCAGCCTGAGCTAGTGAGTTCAACATAGAGGGTTACTGAACAGATGATAAATATAGAGGATATTTATTAAGTTTTGATCTAATTAATAGTTTCATTTTAACAACAGGCAATATTTGACCTATGTAGACGTGTGTGTGTGTGTGTGTGTGTGTGTGTGTGGTACTGGGCCTTGTGCATGCCAGGCAAGCACTCTACCACTTAGCTATATCCCCAGACTATGGGGACTTTAGCTGGATCATAACCTTGACCAAGTGCTCAAAACCTTGTAAGGTGCTATCCCCACTTTACAGATAAACAGGTTTACGGAACTACTATGTGTCAGAGCCACAAGTATGATCAAAAGATTTGATACCAGTACCCATGCTTGTAACTACCATCATCCCAAAGAACTATCCTGGGATTCTTCCTCACCAGTTCTTAAGAAGAGCCAGGGTGGTGCCTCATAGCTGTAATCCCAGCACTCTTGGAGGCCAAGGCAGGAGAATCACAAATTCAAACTCAGCCTAGGCAACTTGGCAATATACTGTCTCAAAAAGGACTGGGGATATAGCTCAGTGGGAGGCCCTGGGTTCAATCTCCTGCACTGAGACAAAAAAAGGAAGAAAAAAAACTTGAGCAGGGACATTCCTCTGCTTTACTAAGTCACCAAAGGGGTCTGACTGGCCTGATAAAGTAGTCTCAGTTGCTAGGGATGATAGGGAGGGGAACAGCAATAAAGGCTCCTTTTCCTGGTTTTTGTTTTTGTCTTTCTCCTTGTGTGCCCGTTATCCTATTCCAGTACTGGACAATTAAAACCTAGGGCCTTCACACTGAGTTATATCTCCACCACTTTATTTTTTGAGACAGTTCTTGCTAAGATTCATAGGCAGGGCTCAAACAGGGTCCCCCTGCCTCAGGCTCCAAGAATATCAGAATTACTGTTGTGCATCACACCGGACTCCCAATACTGAGTTGTTTTGGTTTTTTTTTTGAGATAGGGTCTTGCTGTATAGTTCAGGCAGGCCTTGAACTTGTGGAAATCCTCCTGCCTCAGCCTCCCAAGTGCTGGGATTACAGGCATGTGACACCATGACTGGCTCCAATACTAGTTTTTGAATATTAAAAAACATAAAGAGGTAAGGCAGCCGGGTGTGGTCGTGCACGGGAGGCTGAGGCAGGAGGTCACTGTTGCAAGTCTGAGAGCAGCCTGGGATACAAAGTGAAGTCAAGGCCAGCCTGAACTGCATAATGAGACCGTGTCTCAAAAAATACAATAAATAAATAAATTTTTAAAAAAGAGAGATGGGGCCAGGGATATAGCTCAGTGGCACAGCACCTGCCTGGCAAGTGCAAGGTCCTGAGTTTTGATTCCCTGTACAAAAAGAAAAAAAAGAAAAAAAGGCAACTGGGTTGGGGGGAGGGAGGAGGGGAGGGGGTAGGCAAGGAAAAGCTAAGAATGTCGATGTGGTTGTAATTGCCCCTTTTTTCCTTACCCAGACAGACGTAAACCAGAGGTAATGGAGACTTCATCCACAAGAGGTGGTGTCAACATCTCAACTTTTCCTCTCCTTTCAATCCCAGCACCCACTAATTATTTTTAGTATACAAAAATAAAACTGAAAAAAACTGTTGATCTTATCTTTTTATAGAAATATCTGAGGGAGACCATAAATTGCAACCCAAAATTTGAATTTCATAGCTAGCAGCCTGTCTTACTCCTGTGCTATCTCCAGGATGGAACACACACGGCAACATGGTTGTGGGTTTTTAGCGGGCCTCGGGACTGACCCAGGGACATTTTACCACTGAGCTATATCCCCAGTCCTTTTTTCTAGTTGGAGATGAAGTCACATTGCCCAGGTTGGTCTTGTACTTGTGACCCTCCTGCTGCAGCCTCCTGAGTAGCTGGGATTATACATATGCACCACCTCTCCCAGCTAAACAAGTACTGTATTTCTGTATCTGTTAAAATTACTTTTTAAAAATCAGGTCTTACTATATAGTTCAGGCCAACTTTGAACTCACTACATAGCCCTAGGCAGCCTCAAACCTGTGAGTCCCTTGTGCCATGAACCACTATGCCTGGCTGCAAGTACTTTTTTTTGAGACGATGTAGTTCAGGCTCTTCTCTTGCCTCAGCCTTCTCAGTGCTGGGGTTGTAGGTGTGTGCCACCAAGCACTTCTTTAGACTTGACCTGCCTGGCAAACGCAAGGACCTGAGTTCAATTCCCGGTACAAAAAAAAAATAAAAAGATGTGAAAATCTGAAATCCCAAGAGAAGTGTATATTGCTAGGTATGGTGGCTAAATTTATAATCCCATCACTCTGGGAGGCTGAGGCAGGAGGACTACAAGTTTGAGTCCAGCCCCAGCAACTTAGTGAGAACATCTCAAAAATAAAAGGTTGGGTCCTCTTAACCCTTTGCATCCTTAGTCTGATCCTCATGTAGTTCATGAGGGCTACTGATTCAATCCCTAGCACAGTATGCAAAACAGCAAAGAAGAAACCACAAAAGAAAGAAAAGGGTATTGGGAGGACCTGAACCCTTGAATGTTTCCTCCAGGCCTTAATGCCTGGCCCTCTTCTGAAAAGGTCAAAGGTTGCTACAAAATCCCACCTCAGCCTCTTTTTTGCCACATGCAGGATTCACACTCACTGGTTCTGAGTACTTGTACTAGATACAAGTACTGTACCTAGTACTTGTGAAATGTGCACTTCACACTAACAGCTGCATTTCCACAGGCAGCAATTCAGAGACAAGGGGCAGCCACTTTCAAATTGTCCATCAGCGGTACCCACCCTTTAATCCAACGCACACTTGAAATGATTACAACTAATTTGCTTACATTTTTTTATTTGAAAAATGTATTTAAAAGTCCAACAAATTCTTAATATAAATTATGACTCTCAACCCCACACGTTAGAGAAAGTGGCTCGAGGCAAGAGAGCACCAAAGACTGTCCAAAGAATAGCTATTAGGTGAGGTTGGAGATTGGAGTTCCCACCTTTCTACCTTACCCCATCATCCCCTTTCTACATCCCTAGTCTAACCCTCAGCTACCAAGCTCCTAGGGCAACAAGGTGGGCCACTTTCATAGAGCAACTAACTAGCTCGACTGGAACTAGAGTATTGGGAATGCAGCTCTACCACCAATCTTAGACCCTGAAAAACTACACTGAAATTTGAAAAACTTAAATCACTGTAGATGGGGGCAAAACGGATGGCTGGATGGAATCAGCAGAGTGGATCTGATTCCACAGTTCTGACCCTGCTAGAGCCAATGAGACCCCAGCATTCCTGTCTCAGAGCAGGGAGGAGCTCATCTGTTGCTCTGCCTTCCTAATCACCCTGCAAAGAAAGGGCCAGAACAAAAAACACCTGAGAAAACAATGTGCCTAAAGACCGTGCTCCTCCAATGCTTTCCCATCCAAAGCACACTGCAGCCAGATGGGGGTAGGTCCTGATCTTCAGGCAAAACTCCCTGAGTCTTATTTGTGTCTAGTTCTGGGGCTGGGGCACAAGAACAGCTTAGAGCTTGGGAGGGTAACTAGGTCGCGCACCTCTGCTGCTTTTATCTCCCCCTTCTCCAATTCCAACGCAGCCTGTTCCTGTCTCCACACTGCAAGGAAGGCGAATCGTAGCACATGTCCATCAAGGAGACCTGAAGCCACGCAGCAAAAGGAATACACGGAATATAAAGACTATGTGGAGTTTTCCTGAGCCTACTTTACAAGGGGTCCTAGTCCATCCATAGCTCAGGCTTTTGAGGAATAACTGGATGAGGAGTAGGGTAGGGAGTGAAAACCACTTAAAAGTGCCTTGAATTCAGAGCTGGGATTCTCAGCCTCAGGTAATTTGTCCCTAGAAGACACTTGGCAGTTTCTGAAGATACTTTTGGTTGCCAAAACTAGAGTGGGCTAGAGATGCTGCTAAATATCTAATCACAAAACCGCCCTCTGGTATAAAGAATTATCCAGTCCACAAGGGCAAACATGTCTCGTTGAGAAGCCTTGCTTTGCCTCTGTTCCTGGGCCATGGCAAGGCTCTTACACGCACAGGTGTACGTGCCTATCTTTTTGCTCTCTGGCTTTCTCTTCAGACCCCTCTTTCTTCTCTCACCTGGGCCAGCAGGGAGGTTGGTAGAGGGTGGGCCAGGTCCCCCAAGACTTAAATGGAATGTTGACAGTTAAGATCCACCGCAACTCTTACTCAACAGGAAACAGTAAAAGAGACAAGGTTAAGGGCAGAGGGAAGAGCAGGGTGGGGTAATTAAATCAGCTTAAATTAAAATTTTAATTAAAAGAAAAAACGACTGCAGCTGGGAAGCTAGTAATGCTACAGAAACAGGATGAGAGAAAGACCCTGGTGTCAGCAGAGAAGGAGTGAGGGGCTATGAGCTTAAGGTCTGCAGTCTAGAGGAAGAATGGACTGGGCACCACCCTCCCAGCCCCTGCTTGATGTCTGCTTTTGTGCATCGCAGGGGGAAAGGGAAGGGCAGGGAGGTAGAGAGCTTCTCAGGAAAGCCAGCTTCAGCTTTGGCACTCTCACCTACCTACCCCATTTGAGGAGTTCCAGGCTAAGAGTTTGAAGAGTTGACACCCAGACCGTCATTTAGGAGGAGGGAACTCTTCCCCGGTTCCCAGAGAACTCCTCACTCAGATCTCGGGTGTCCAGGGCTTCCACTGAGCTCCTCTGGCCAGCCAGTGGTCACTTGGTCAGTCCTGCTGCCTTGACCCATCTCCAGGAGGGGTGACAGCCAGAGAGAGGAGGAGTCCAGCCCCTACCCCTCAGAGGCACTGTTAGGCAGTGAGGGAAAAGAGGGACTGTTGGGTTCTACAAGTCCTAGCAAGGATCAGGCGAGGGCAGCATTTCTTCTGGGCTGGACAGAGTTGGAACTTCAAGATGGCAGAACCTGAATTTAAGAATGTAGACAAACAAAACAAAAACAATTTTTAAAGAAATGAGTTGCCTCAAACAACAAACACTTTAGGGAGAAGCCACTACACAGTGCAGACTTTTCTCTCTATTTCTGTGTAGACAACCACGCCTGTGCCTTTCTGATGGAGCCCACATTCTAGCCACCCCCCCACCGAGGGCTGGGATTCAGCCATGACTGGCTGAAGCCCACATTCTTGTGCCTCCCATTCTAACTCTTCCTCCTCTCCCCCTACCCGCTCCACTTCCCATTCTGGCATCTAGAAACAGGGTTCTGAAGTGTGCTATCCAGACTTACCACATGGTTACTCACCATTTATTTCTATGGGAGCTATAAGCCCCTAGAATTACTCCAAGGCCTGTCCCGGTTTCCCTTGGACCTCATCTGCTCCTGAACTGCACCTGTCTGTTGAAAAGCATATGAGACACTGGAGCTTGGTGGCACATGCCTATAATCCTAGCATTCTGGGAGGCTGAGGCAGGGGGATTGGAATTCAAGCCCAACCTGGGCAACTTAGCAAGTCAGACTCAGTCTTAAAAAACAAGCCTCCCGGCCGGGGATACAACTCAACAGCACAGGCGCCTGCCTGGCAAGTGCAAAGTCCTGAGTTCAATCCCCGGTACAAAAAACCAACAACAACAAAAAAAGAAAAAAGTAAGCCTCTCCAAAACAAATACAAACAAACAAAAATAAGCCTCCCTTCATGTTGGCTTTAATGAGTAATAGTTAAAACAGGTCTTTTACTAGTAAGACGCCCTTCCAAAAATTTCACTGTATATGAACTTCATAATCAATAGGAAGGTTCCATCATACCTCTAGACCCATTTCCCTTATACCAAGGGCAGAAATATACATTTAGGCCAAAGGTCATCAGCCTTTTACAAGCCCAAAACTCCCAGCCACAGTATGACTTACTATGGCTCTGAATCAGCAGTTTTTTTTGAGTTCTGCTTTTTAGACAGGGTCACTCATGTTTCCTAGGCTGACCTCCTGCTTCAGCTTCTCAGTGCTAGAATTATCAGTACGCACCACCACCCTCACCAGCAATTTTTTTTTTTTTTTTTGAGACAGGGTCTTGCTATATAGCACAGGTTGGCCTCAAACTTGCTGCAGTGATTCTCCTGACTCAGCCTCGCAAGTGCCGGGGTTACAAGAGTGCACCACCATGCTCAATTCCACCAGTAGTTCTTTAATTTATTTATTTATTTTGTCTTTTTGAGACAGGGTCTCACCATGCAGTTCAGGCCGGCCTAGAGCTCACTTTGTAGTCCAGGCTGGTCTTGAACTTGCAATGATCTTCCTGCTTCAGCTGGGATTACAAGCATGTGCCACCATGCCCGGCTTTCTACCAGCAGTTCTTTTTTTTTTTTTTTAATTTTTTAAAAATTTTTTTAAAGCCTTTTTTATTTTTATTTGGTACCGGGAATCGAACTCAGAACCTTGCACTTGCTAGGCAGGCACTTGTGCCGCTGAGCTATATCCCCAGCCCTCTACCAGCAGTTCTTAATCAGAAGTTATAGTATTTGAAAAATCCCTCCAATCATTAAGACATATATTCCCCACTCCAATGAAGGCTAATATGCTAACTACAAAGATAAGGGACCCTAGGCCCAGAGATCTGAAATGCCAGGTCTCAGATTTACACAACTGGTTAACAAGACTAGACTCTCTGATTCATGCTTCTTCAGAGTATTTTCCTATATTCTCCAATGGAACTTTCAGAAGGGGTACAGTTACAGACCACACCCCCACATCAACCGGTCCCTGTCCCCATCCTCTCATTACCATAGCAAGTCCATCTCCAGCTCCCATCTCCCCAGAGCCAATGTGGGTCAGGTGGACAAAATTCATTGGTTCCCCAATCATGGTCCGGTCAATCCGCCTTCTCTTCTTCTGCTTAGAGAAGATAAAGAATCATGTTTGGAGGCCCCACCTCAAATCACAGGAGAGGAAGACGAAAGAGTCTTGAAAACCACTAAGGGAAGGGAAGTGCTAAGGGCCTGGTGGGAAGAGGGGATGTGGTATAACAGGGAAACCACTAGGGTATGGAAGCAGAGCTGGAACAACAAACAAAGGACACATCACACTGTGAGGGCAGTGGCCTGCAGGGTGGATACTACATAAAGAGAGGACACCTCAAAGTCACCTCTGGCTGATGAGGAAACAATGGAGAAAACTTACAACCCCTGCCCCATTCAAAATGAACAGGAACAGGAGGTAAAGGTGTGGACTATTCACTTCTTCCACTTCCCAGGCCCTCTCACTGCACATGTATATCCGCCCGGCCAGAGACCCTTTCCCGACAGAATGAAGGCAGTGCACTTTTGCCAAGGCAGATTCCAGAAGGTGAGTGCACTTCTTAGCCTGCGGTAACTCCTTTCTGGGGTGGGTCGGGGAGACTCACCGGCTGGGGTTTCTCGACCACACAGCAGCCCAGTTTGTGCCAAAATTCACTCATAGTCCGTGAAGGTGCCAGCTTCAATCCCCTGCCGGAGGCCCCAGAGGGCTCTTGCCCTGGTGCTTTGATGCCCTCTCCTCAAGCTCCTGCTGTACCCACACACTCGGTCCACTCAGCTGGAACCCTGGGGACCCTCAGGTGAGCAGCGTCTCAGAGACTAACAGGGCCACGGAAAGGTGGGCACACACAAGGTTGTGTCTTCCTGGGATCTGAACCCTGAATTTAGAAAGTAAAGAGAAAAGTTAATGAGAACACACACGCTCCAATCTTCAAGAAGCCTCCTGATAAGCCCCTGTTTTTCCAGTTTTCTCCTAGAGGCCCCCATCCAGTACCTCAACACCAATCTTTTCCAAATACAGGAACCTCACAGCTTGACTCTCAGAGAAAGGAACATAAGCAAAAGGGTACCAAGGGGTTAAGGGGCAGAGCTGCTGGCACCAAATGAGAGGAAGGGGGGCTATTAGGACTTAGGGTGAGGGGATGGGCAAGTCCAAAGGACAACAACAGAAAGGAACAATCTTTGGGGGTGCAACAAGCTCCAGTTCCCTTCTCCCAGGGTTTAGGGCAGATGGGGAGGGGCATTTAAAATGACTCTAAAGAGGAAATAGTGGTTTTTTGTTCTCACAAACAGGGCCTCCACCCTGTTCCTCCCTATTTCTTACCTTGCCCTGAGCACCTAAATTTTCTTTAAGGAGACCATGGAGGTCCTAGGAGACTAGCTGCACAGGCTGGACCACAAGGAAGACTTTTTACAGTGAGAAACTTTTCCCTCTCTCAATTCACTGTGCCGGTTCCTCTTCATTGCCCTCAACTAAGATCCAACCCCTCCCAGAAACCATTTAGCAGCTCCTTTATTACCTGACCTTGAGATTCTTTCTCCCTGAAGGCTCTGCACTGTCTAGCTGTGTCACGTGTTGACGCCCCTGCGTGCATATTTGCACACAGACAGCGTGGTCACATCTCCTTATGTCTTGCGCCGACGTCTGTGCACATGGACAGGTACACATGCCAAGTGTCTTTCTGCCCCATAAGGAATCATTTTCCAGCCTCCCCACCCTCTTCACAGGTCCTATCGTGCAGCTCTGCCCCGCCTTGCACGCTGTCAGGGCCAGGGCCTTCCCTCCTTTCCTCATGTTGTGACCTGTTCTCTTCTCTCCTCACCGCTTCCACCCCTAAGCTGCACCAGCCAACCAGACACAGGAACTTTCCTGTGTGACTATAGAATACGTGTCCTTTCTTCCTTCTCACTGCTGGCAGCCAGGGTAGGATCCATCTGCATTTCCCTATCCTATATTTCCCAGTCCTATAGAGCACACCACCTCAGATACCAACAGGGCAGCTTTGTGAATTTTACAGTATTTTTTTTGAGACAGACTCTCACTATGCAGTTCAGGCTGCTCTTGAACTCATTACGTAGCCCAAGCTGACCTCAAACTCACAGGGATCCTCCTGCCTCAGCCTGTCAGCACTGTGATTATAGGCATGCACCACCATGCCTAGCGTGAATTTTACACAGGAGCACGAATAGGAATCACCTCCCTTCTAGCCCTAGATCCTGGATGCTGGTGCTCAGGCACCCCAGACTGATCAAAACACTGTGTTTTTTTGAGCAGTCTTGAGATGAGATCATGCAAATACAGCTTCTGGGGGTGTCTGGGTTTTCTCTTGCTTCCCGTCCCACCCTTGGAAGAGCAGAGTAATCAGACCGGAAGTCAGAACACAGCTGTCCAGAGAGGGGAGCCTTGGTCAGTAGGGTAGTCAGTCAATCAGTCACAGAGTTTGTCCTGATGGTGGTTGTGGCAGCAGGTGGTAAGGGCTGGAGGGAAACGGAGAAAACAATGAAGAATCAGAGGAAACCCCCGACACCACCAGGCAGTCTGTGCTGAGTGGACAGTACATTCCCCCTCTGCTTAAAGCTGAGTGGACAAGGGTGGATAGTGCTGGGAGGGGAGGGAAGGGGGGAGCGAATGGGGCAGTGGAAGAAACAAGGGCCTTTCTGTTTCTTTTCCAGGGACCTAACCAGAGCTGGGTGGAGGGAAAGTGTGTGTGGGACTTGGCAAGTAAACGTCCAATGAGGATGAGAAGTGACCAGGAAATTCCATTCCCTAGGACATTAGGGTCTCTGAAACTTGGGGGTGGAGTCGGCGTGAAAAAGGCAGGACTGAGCCAATGTGTGGAGGGCTAGGGTGGGGGGAAGGGGAACAGAGCCAAAAAAGGAAGTAAGAGCGACTGTCAATCTTTTAAAACAGCCAGAGAAGAGCTGAGGAAAACTGAAGTCGAGCTGGTAAGCAGAGGAAGAGGTGCCAGAATCTACTGCACACTATTTCAACTGCACAGAAGGGTCTAGAACCAAGAAGAGGGATCCAGGATTAGACAGCATAACGCTACATCCCAACAGCCAAATAACGCTAGGGCTGGGCCCCACTTAGGCCCAAATGAGAGGGAAACAGAACTGGGAAGGTCACCCCCCAAATCTCGGCACCATCAAGGTCACACTAGGGCTCAAGAGCCCCGGGCCACTGGGGGTGACCAGAGAGGGCACCGCGGGGGACCCGCGCCCGGAAGGATGTACAGAGGTAGTTCCTGGGTCCTGCCGTAGCCTCAAACCGGTTCTCCCGGTCCCGCGGCCTTCCGCCCCACGGCCTCCAGCCCGCTGCCCGACAAGCCTTCACAAGCAGCAGCTGCGAGAAGGCGCAGCACTGAGAAAGGAGTGGGCAATTCTGGCTGTCAGCCCAGGCCCGCAGCTGGCCCTGCCTGCAGACCCCAGGCCTGGGGACGCGGTGGATCCCGCCGCCGGCCCAGCGACACGCACTCGCCCAGCACCCCCAGGGAACGGCTAGTGGGGTCCGGAGCAAAGAACGGAGCCCCGGGCTCTCCCTCCCTCGAGACAGTCGCCCCCACCCCGGCGTTCTCCGAGCCTCCCAACCTTCAACCAGGCCCGGGCCCCCTCTGTGACCCTTCCGACTCCGTCACTGCGCTCCGCGGAAGCCTCAGGCTAGAGAGGCGCTCCGTCCCACACGCGCCGCAGCGCAGCAGCCGCGGCTCCGGGAGCGCGGTCCCTCCCACTGCCCCGCGCCGGCCCTGCCTCCTCCCGCTCCCC